TTTATAGTAGTGAGGTATCGAAATGGTGTATTTAAGTGTTTTACACTCACAAAAAAGAAACCTATCATTTTATAGGTATTTCACCACAATTTAATTCTTCGTATTGTTAGCTGACACTGGCAGCTTGTACATAATTGAATAAATAAAGTTGTTTAAACATTTGTTTAACAACAAGTAAAAGCTTGGAATGGTCTATTATTTCATTGGGGTATGTGTCTGTGAGCCAGACTAGTTTTGGTTGGCTTGGTTTGTTTTAATCACGTTTGATTTTTGTGAATGTAAAACACTTAAAGACACCAGTTTGATGATCTTTCATTGTTATAAAATAAGTTTGATTAGAATAAGAAATTCTTCATTCTGTGATAAAATTACTTATTTAGGCTAACCTGGCTAAAACTGATGTTTAGTGTAGATGTTCAAGAATAATGTTACAAAAATAATAAAGAGATTCACATATTTGCTGTTCATGTTTCTTCATCAGTTCATGATCAAAGGGAAAAGGTAAAAAAATTGATGCATCAATTTCCAAAATATGTTGAAATAATGTTTTTAAAATGAAAAATAGCATATGTGCAAGCTAGCTTGATTAAATGTAAAACATTGTTTCAGTAAACATGAACTCATAGTATGATTTTAGTACCACTATGATAGTTGATGACTTAGAAATTATCATATAGTTACAGTCCTGCAAAATTTTTAGGTTTAAAAACCAGATCTGATGCTCTATTTTTAGAAGAGTTTAACTGCATCATTATTTATAAAGTAATCATATTGTAGCTTTTTTGTTAGCCTGAAAAAATACATCAGCAACCTATTACTTTTATAGATTAAGAAGAAAAGTTTAAAACATGGGTGTAATCGAGACGTTAAACAAAGATATCTCTGAACTATTAATTTTTATTTTACAAGCTTTCAGGTATATAAAACCTGAACTTTGACAGAGGAGTTTGGATGTGCAGTGTAACTATCTGGACTTTTTTATTGATAATGTTTTGCAAGCTTTGCTAAATAGCAATGCTTCAAATTGTTCAGTATGTTTCAAGTCTTAGCTCGTGTATCATGGGCTGTCATGTTGGAGCTAAAATTGAAATAAAACTATGTATTGATTCTTTCTCAAGTTATCAGTACTATACACATCAGTGAGACTTAGATATTTAATTTTTTGTAAAGTTTCATAATTTAGTTGGTGAAATGTCAGAAATTGTGATCATAAAAATAAATTTTTGGTTTTCATATGTTTATCAAACACATTTTTTGTACCGATGATGTATTTCTTGTTAGATTGAAAGAAAACTTGTAAAAATACAGTAATTTTATAGGCAGTAAAGCTGATTAAAATATACTTGTGGAATAAAATACATGTATGTGATTTCTTCCAAGAATACTTAGTAGAAGGTGTATTTGTCTGTACAAGCAAATTAAAAATAATGATGTAGCAGATAATTTTTATGTAAGTCTATGAGTTTGTGCTGAAAAACATTATTGTCAAGGTTGATCTTAATATATACCCTTCTAGAAACACTTTTAGCAACTCATTCTGTGTTCAAAGAAACCACTCTAACCTTGAGATAACTATAGATATTTAAAATTGGTACATTTTGTAAATACAACTAAGGTATGATGTAATTGTATAATCAGTCAAATATGAACATAGATAATGTATTAGGTTGTCAAGAAATTATTGTCGCATCTTGGACCCCCCAAACGCACATCACGTATAATAGTTAAACCAACTGCCTAAATGTAGCCTACATAATGTGTAAAGTTTATAATGATGGTACACGACAAGACACACATTCGGCATGTAATACTGTTTGAATGCAAGAAGGGAAACAACGCCTCTATAGCCACAAAGAATATCAATAAAGTTTATGAAAATGTTTTGAACGTTCGTAAGTGTCAATGATGGTTCAGCAAATTTTGTTCAGATTACTTTAGCCTTAAAAACTGTGATGGCAGGGGA